TTTATATTTAGAAATACCTGCACTGGATTCTAGGAACCTTGCTGGCAACATACCGTTACACTTGATTAAAAGATAACCAAGAGCATGTTGACACACAGTTTCCTTTTCAATTCATACTAGTCCCCAAAGAGAAGACTACACATGCATTCTATATAAGCATCGACTCTTCAGTGTGATCAGAAAAGGACTCGTGTTTCAAAACCTTCTTGAACTTGAAACCTCAACCTTTTTCAGCCAGAGATAAAATGATGTTGCACCTCACTCTACTTTCAATATTTAGACTCCATTCAGGACTGTTTTCATAATACATATATGCAGTGATGGTATTTGACATACTTATCCACTTTGCTCTCTATTTACAGGTAGTAGATATTAATATTTATACTCACTCTGATCTAAGGCCAGCTGTGGATTGTTTTTTTTACCATAAAAGGTGAATTTGGAAAATTTTAATCAAATATCTTGGCAAAGGCATAGATGCTTTGGATATTGATGGGGCACTTACTACTGTTGTTATCTCATTTAAGCCTCAGAACAACTCTACGATAACATGATCATGATCCCGATTTTACAAATAAGGAAACAGGCATGGCAAGATTAAGCAACTTGACCATGACTATACAAGTAAAGAGCAGCAGAACTAGGATTTAAACCCAGGCAATCCAGCTGTAGTGCTAGGGACTAGGTATCCTGTAATAGTGAGGCAATTTTGTACTAAAGGACAGGTGACAAAACACACAAACATATGTTACATTGCCTGGAACATGGTAGGATAGTTAATGAAGAGCAGCTCCCTTATTAATAAGTATAAAAGTGTCCAGCCTAGTGCCTGGCATGTAATAACGTGTTCGCTGCTTTCACACTGGTTCAATATTTTCTAATTACATGTTTTGTGTTTCTTTTCTCCCCATTTTTCCATCAGTATCCTTCTCTCATTTTGCAGTTAGCAGAACAGTATCTCAAGTTTCTCCCACTCTTTCTGCTTTAAAACAGTTCTCCAAAATAAACCCAACTTCATTCTAAAATGAACATTTAATGCGTTTCGTAATTACATAATCTAAGTGGTTACAAGCCAGCAGGCTGAAAACAGATCGTGGGGCATTCTTTCTGTTCTGTAAACACGCGCTGCCCTAGTTGGGACGGCGCACTTTATACCCAAGAATGTTGACAAGCACTTCAGCCTGGGGAGACACTGAATTAACAAAACAGGTGGGTGATGTCCCCGGGGGAGCACCTGGCTGGCTTCCACTCATTTGGGATATTAAGTGTCTTCATGCATCCACCACTTGTACTTACAAATGATCCCTGATGCCAGAGATGAAAGGAGACCTAGTAGTTCTAGAACTGAGCTAGGCTTGATAATAAGTTGGTTCCAGGTCATTTAAGAGGAAAAAAGAATCCTTTACAGTGTTTTAAAGAAACAAAAACATCAGCAAGCAGAGGTTCATAAAAGGAGCTTCGAGTCAGACACCAAATCTGGGGAGGAGGGTGAAGCTCTGGGTTTGCAATTCAGGCTTTGACAGACAAAGTCTGTTGAGCTGAATCAAGATGAACAGCCTGGAGATGGGAAGTCCATGCAAGAGGCGCGGGAAGTTACAGGACTCTTGGCACATGGATCCGAGTTACAAAGCCCAGGATGATGCTGAGGTTGCTTTTTTTTTTTGAGCCAAGAAGAAGAATCAATGACCCCAAGGGCTTGGGACCTATTTGAGCCATTACTGGAGCAGAGATAATGCTTCTGAACATCTGCAGCCCCAATAGTGTGCAATTCAATATTCAGTTAATTGTAGAAAAATGCGATGCTATGAAACATAGCTACGTATGTATCACGTATCAGTCACACATGTCGCATGAAAGTTAAAGAAACCTTTCCCCCGCCCCCGAAACGATCCCTCCAACAGATGTGTTTATGCCTCTGCATATAATACGGCACACAGCAGCGCTGAGGGGCTGAGTTCTCTGTCTTATCTCTCCCTTGACTGTCATGAAGTAATGTTATAACATGCAAAGGGAGGCCTGCCCGTTGCATAGGCGTCACAGGGGATAGAAAGTTCCAGCGGTTGTTTTAAGAAAGAGGTGAAACTTGGGATTGAAGGACAGTGATGGGGGAGCTATTTAAGAGACGGGTGTCCTTGTAAGCCCTAATTCAAGCTGGTATGCCAAGTGGCAATGCTATAATCATGGCCTCTAGAGGTCATTTCCTTTGAGGATGCCTGAGGACTAAAGAGTGCAAAAATCCTTGACAAAGAGGTGTGTGTTTTTCTCTCGCAAACCACTGTGGCTCTCACTTATTTATTCTCCTAAGATAAGGGAAAGTACTGACAACATTACAAGGGAAAGGACAAGAAGGAACAAACAGTGATTTCCAAGCAGTACTATTTAATGCCATGTGCTGTCACCTAAAGCAGGTTTTCAGCGGATGGCTCTTTTTGAATCCAATGAAGAATAAATATTCTTATCTGGTTTTTAGGGCTTCACAAGCACAAGGGGCCTTGGAGGAGGGGTAAAATGTAACTCCCCAAAGAAGACAACCCACTCGATGGAAAAGAGACAAAGACACCGAAAGCTAACCTAGAGCCAAGTTCACCCCAGGTTCTCTGGGAAGATAGTAAAGAAAACATCACTTAACTATCTCTTCCCCTCATTCTCCCCAACCCCCACCCACCCACCCCGCCGCCGCTGCCGCCGCGGGGCTGAGAGGGCAACCCTAAGTTTCTTCTCTAAGTCTGTGGGTCTCTTTCTGTTTTGTAAATAAATTCATTTGTTTGGGATGGGCAAGGGCAGACTGCTATGTTTAAAATGGATAACCAACAAGGACCTGTGCTTCTGTATAGCACAGGGAACTCTGCCCAGTTACTTGGCAGGCTGGATTGGAGGGGAGTTCAGGGGAGAATGGATACATGTGTATGTATGGCTGAGTCCCTTTGCTCTTCACCTGGAACCATCACAACATTGCTAATCGGCTATACCCCCATACAAAATAAAGTTTAAAAAAATAAAGAGAATGTCACTTAAAGATGCCAATCTATCGGGTTCAAAGGGGATTACAGCGATGGGACTGCACAGCATAATGAGGGTCGCCAAGGATGCTCTGGGACCCTGTGCCAGGAGATAACATTACATGGTCCCCCCACAGCTGCCTACCTAATAGAGGAGATCTGCAGGGCACAGAAATGCCTGCTGGCTCTTAAAATCTCTCCCATCTCCAGGGGTGCTTATCTGAAATGCCTATGTTAACTAAGGCACTGCTGCCCTGAAGCCTTGACAAAGTGCAGACTGAAACAAATGCTCCTTCAAACCACCATCCCCTCCTTAATTCATCAGACCACCTCCAGAGGATCCTAGAAACTTCTGAAGGTGGAGTCTTCCCAGGCAGGACAGGACAGCACTTAAAAGAGCCCCGCAAAAAATTCTTAACAACTTTCCCATTGTGGTCAGGTCTAAGAGTTCTTTCACTCACTAGGCTGGCCTATGAAAGGGCAGTAGAGAATGTCACTTAGGGAGGTTGCTAATCCAGCTCCCCCATTTCAGCCCTGGTTGAATAAAACGCGATAGGGATCTCCAAAATAGAGGGAGGTAAGGAAAATTTCAATTACACCCTCCTAAGGACTAATGCAAGGTAACGATGGTGAAGCTGATCAGCAGTATCTTATCATAGAAGCAGGCGCAGAAAAGGTCGGTCAGTGGCCAAACAATTACTCTCTGTTCAATTTGTTTTGCTCAAAACCTGCTTAAGGTCTCTGCCAATAAGCCCGGCTCTGAAATGCTCTCAGTGATGCCAATAAGAGGACTAGGCAAATCTTGTTTTCTTCCTGCAAGGAACAGGCAAATACCTCTGTTATCTTTCTCAGTCACGGTACTACCAAGTGCTATTGAATTAATTCCTCAGAAGTGTTTTATAAACTGTGCTGGGGGATGTTCTACGTGACTTACGGTATCTGGATCGATTAAGAATTGAGAATCCCAGAAGCAGAAAAAAGCCCGTATATCCCCCCCCCCCTTTTTTTAGCATCTTCACTGAATTACTCATAAGCTAGTATCTATTTGGAATACCTCCTATGTCCAAGGTAGTGGGTAGTATCTACAGCATCAGCCCTTCTCAGTGAAACACACGGTGAAACTGTCACTCACGCCCGTGTTCTGAAGACCCAACAGTACTTTTCCCTACAAAGTCTGAACTGCATTTCCTTTTTTATTACAACCAGCGAGCAACTGAGTTCAAAAGTTTAGGTGAACTTTTGCCTTATGGGCATCTCTTGGGAACATAAATTAACCGTATTGATTAAAGAGGCCCCGAGAAATAGAACTGCAAAGCCGAAAGTTTGAGAACCTTTTTGGAGTGGACCTGAGTCCTGGCGCTGGGCTGGGTTTGATCTGCTTCGCTGACCTCTAGGAATCTCTCTCCGCTGATCCGAACACCAGTACCGCAGGGCTGAAGGCGGGTGAACGTCCGCTCACACCCGGACCCTGCACTCCTTCCCCGGATCCCAAAACACCACTGCGCGAGCGCTCGCGTGGCCTCTCTCTAGCGCACCCCTTCTTCCGAGCCAGGCGCTCGGAAGGGGGGACATCCGTTCCCGCTTTTCTCGCTAGAGGGCAGGCGGGCCCCGTGCAAAGCGCGACTGGCGCGGGACCAGCGCGCACCCGGCCTCGGCTCCGGCACGCCAGGTCCGGCTCCCGCTGAGGCTCGGCTCTGCGGCGCTGGGCAAAGGCCGTGCCAGGGAGCGCGGCTCGTCCGGATCCTCCCGGGGCGCGGGCCCGGCTGCCGCCCTCACCCGGCGCGCGGGGCGCGGACGCCCGGGTGGGGCTCGGCGCCCAGGTGAGGGGCGGCCCCAGGGAGGGGCGAGCACCGCCCGGCCCTGCGGACGCCCGGGAGCAGAGCCAGCGCCGGGTGCGCAGGGCGCGCGGGCAGGCGAGGGAGAGGCGACGGCAGCCGAGAAAGAGGAGGAGGAAAAAAGGAGGAGCAGGCTTGCGGAGCCCCGGCCGCGCGGCGCACTCACCTGGGCTCGGGCCGCCCGCCGCGGGCGCGGGCTTCTTCCCGGAGCCTCGGTCCTTCTTGCCGCCCTTCCCCTTGCCTCTGCCTTCTCTGCGCTCCGACATCTCGTCCGAGAAGTGCACGCTCGGCGCGGACGGCTCCCGGCGAAGGCGACGAGCGACAAGTTTGGGTCCGAGGGCTGGGATCGGCTTCGAGAAAAGTTTGTCCCGGGAGTGGAGGCGGGCCAGCGGCCGGGCCGAGGCGCGCGCGGCGCAGGGGGGGAGCGTCTCCTGTGGCCGACGGGGAGCGCGGGGACGCGACGTGCGGTCCGGTCCACCTGGGACTGGCGGGCGCTCCGTCCGGCGGTCGTGCGCGCTCGCGGGGTGGCTCCTGCTGGCGCGCCGCTGGGCAGTCCTCGGTTCCCGCCGCGGTCCGCTCCTGTCGCGGCCTCGGTCCGGCGCTCTCGCAGCCCGAGGAGGTAGAGGCGATTACCGTCCGGCCCGCGCTCGCATCACCCGGGCAGCCGCCGCCGCTCCGCTCCTGCCCTGCGCGCGAGCCCAGAGTTCCGACAAGTTGGGGGGGGAAACTCCTCGCCGGCTCTTTTTCAATTGCCCCACCGCCACCCACCCGCAGGTTGGACGCTGGCGCCTCCTTCTCGCCCTCCCCTGGCCTCGCCCCCTCCCTCGTCCCCACCACACCCCCACCCCGAGGCGCGGACACGCCACCGGGAGGAGCCTGGGCTCGGCGCTCCCGGGCGCAGCCCCTTTCCCTCCCCGAGTAAGCAGAGAAAATTACTGGAGTCCAAAGTTTGCCGCTCTGACACCTGCCCGCCAAATTAAGGCTTGGAGCCCGTGGGAAGGAAAGGAACGGTCGCTGTTTTTCCCCTTGGAGTTTGGCTTTCGCTCCTTTCTGACTTTCGTGGAAAACCCCACATGCACGCAGGGCAAAGAGAAACTCCTGGGGGGAAAGGGGACGGAGTAAGGCAGATGTGGGTAGAAGAAGGACTCGGGGAACCGTGAGGATGGTTAGAGGACTCCAAGGTCGTTCAACTGCTCCTTGGTTGAGTCTGTGTCCTGCTTTCCTGCGTTTAGCAACGTGCCTGCCAGAATTCTCATCTTCAGCTTTTCCTAAAAGAATAATAACCTGTTCTCTGCAAAGGGGGTCTCCCTAAGTGTCTCTCACCGTAACTTAATTATTTAAGTTGTAAGTTAACTAATAAACCCTGGTTGAAAAGCAGTCCGCGATAAAATTAGCGAGATAGCTGGAGTCCTTCCGTTCTGCTGTGAAAGAGTACAGGGGAGTGGAGTGCAGAGACAGACCAGAGATCCTGCTAGTTTTCTGGGATTCAAACTTCCCTCAGAACTGCGGTGAAACCTGCTTCGCTTCCCTTGTCCTCCCTCTGGTGGAGAATTCTAAAGGGCAGTGAAATCCGGAGAACGTTAGCACCCTGCCGCGAAGGACAGCAGTGAGAGGTCGGGGTGATCCGCAGGGCGGAAAGATCCCGAATCAAGTAAAGAAAACGTTCTCCTAGTTCAGATGACAGCTGTGGCTAAGTTAGAACGTTCATGTGCAGTGTGACAGGCTCACGTGTGGTTGGCTGTAAGAGGTGAGTACCAACCATCCCTATGTGAAATTTACTTCCTCCTCTTTAAAAGGGATTGGCTCCTGATTTTCCATCCTCTGGGATGAATGCTAAGTGAACCATTACCTACATACAACCTTCTTAGTGTATTTTTTTAAATGTCTCCCTTCAAATAAAGATGAAATCTGGGGGCCTTCTTGCTGTGTAAGCGACGGGGAACATTTACTTAAAAGCTGTCCCAAATTGAGAATGATTTTTTTTCTCCTTTAATTTGCATTGTTTTAAACACCAATTCTACTGGGTGGGTTAAGTTAATAAAAGATATTTTAACAGTAGTGCCATCATTATTTATTGTGAAAAATGTTATGTTCAAATAGCTTCTGATAACCTTCCAACAAACACCACATATAAATTATACTGGGCCATAAAAACAGCAAAGTCTGGGAGATTATGAATACTGAATAGCACTATAATATTCCACAGAGTCTAATGTAAACTGAAAGTGAATGATGGCTGAAATAACTCTGCTTTCCCAGGGCGGGCCACTACTTAACCAACAGGAAACAGCAAAGCTCAGAAATGGGGAATCCTTTCAAAAAGGAAACTTTTCCTCCAGGATTGGAGACATTGTAAGTGCTTAGTATTTGATTGCTACAGATTAGCAGATGTACCATCATTTTACAATTGAAGGATATAAAGCAGATATGTATTTTGGAATTAAAAAATGAAGTTTCAGATCTTTCCAAATAAAATAGGAAGCTAGTAGAAAACCCAATGAGGTGATTCTTAAATTATTCACCTCTGTGGTTAGGAAGTAGCAGATGAATTTTTTGTTGTTTTACATTTTTATAAAACTTTGGAAATGATCAGAACAGGATGGAGAAAGGAGGGAAATATTTTTCCTTTCTTGAAAATCAAAATATGAACCTCCCTTTAGAAACAATGACTTGTCTTCATAGTGTAAGTTTGTTAACTTATTATGTATTGTTCAGCTCTTAGAGGATACATTATACAGGGTATATCAGTTCTCAGGTAATATATTGTTAGCCTGTCAACATATGTCAACTCCTGAAAAATAGAGTGGAGATTTATAAATAAGCAACTTGAGAAATAAAGACAAAATGCAGATGTTATAGTAAGTGACAGCTTGAAATAAATGCTATCATAAGCCTTAACACTTTTTTTGGCTATGTTTTAGCTATTAGAAGCACTCTTAGACTCTATGAAACTGGTCAAATATACCTTTTCTCTCATTCATTCCCATTTGGAAAATACTTCAAGAAATTGCAAAGAAAAAAAGAAGAATGAAAGTACATTAACGTGTGACCATATTTTACATTTTTGCAAAATATTGTTGTACATATTGACAGTATGGGCATCTTATTTAAAATTCTGCAAATAGACATTTTGAACTTTAAAAAGTAACTAACAAGATAATTTATTATTTTTTAAACTTTGCAACAAAATATTTATTCATAAAGATGCATGAATAAAAAAAAAAATCTCCCTTACCACACACATTTTAGTGTTGTTTGAATGTTACCTTTTTAGGGTTTTTCTTAGGATTTATCAGATTAACTTCACAGCAGATAGAATATGATGAGTTAATAATTTTGTTAAACATTTTCCAAATGTAATAGTAAAGGCACATGACTTAGTCACTAATTCACAAAGCATTTACTGAACTAAATGCCAGATAGTAGACAGAAAAAAAAATGACCCATTTTCATAAAGCCAAAACGATATAAGAAAGGCATAAAAACAAATTAATTATTACAATACAGATGAAAAGCAGAGCCAGATAAGTTTTCTAAGACCTGAAGCCCTTAAGATTTGAGAGAGTTTTTTAGAAATTAAAACTACAAATTTAAATCCAACACTATTAAAGGAAATCCAAGGCCCTGAAACTTCCTTAGTTTCACGGCAAATTCACTACTAGTGATTCCAAGTATATTCCACTATCTGCACAATTATAGTGATGATCAACAATTATATACTAATTCAGAGACTAGATGCTACTTTCACATACTATCACTATAGAAAAGGTATTAACAAGCAATCAAAGGGAAACACACAAAACTGAAACAAGCAAAGACTATTGTGTAAGGAGGATGAAATGAAAGCAGCCTTAAGAATTCACTGATTAGCAATTGTCCTCTATGTTTAGTTAGACTCTTAGAATAAACACCCAAGCTGAGTTTGTTAAACAAAAGACTTCTGACCAACAAGATACCCTTGCAAAACTGGTGATGATGTCCTCCAGTACATCTGGAAAATATTCAACAAAGTTATGAACTAGGCATGTCCGGTCTGCTGTGAAGTTGGTTTGATAACAAATTGTGAGTTTAGAATACTAAGAAAAATACTAAACAGGTTAAAAAAAAGGTAACATTTCAACAACACTAAAGTGAAATCTGCATTTATGCTTTTCTGCTGTGTGTGATTTGTAAACATCCCACACCAATGATTGTTATTATTTATCATTATTATTAATGATAGGATTACTTTCATGATTGTAGGGTTACATCATAGAATAAAAAATGGATTATATATCTGAATACTAGTGTCTAATTTCTTTTTATGGACACTTTGAAAAACAGGGCTAAAGTCATAAATCTGTCCTGTAATAATTTGGAGATGTAAAACTTAATAGTCTTTGAAAAATTTTAATTTCTTTTAAGAAGAATACAACCTCACATAATTTTTTGATTTATCTTTCTGAACTCCACGCTAATTACTTATTTTTATATTCTTCATCTCCTTTCAATATATACTTAATACCTGTGATACAAATACCTCAAATATACATATACATATATTGCACATGTTGTCATTGTCTAGTCACTAAGTCGTGTCCAAGTCTTTTGTGACCCCATGGACTATATAGCCCACCAGGCTCCTCTGTCCATGTCATTTCTCAGCAAAAATACTGGAATGGGTTGCCATTTCCTTCTCCAGGGCATTTTCCCCACCCAGGGATTGAACCCATGTCTCCTACATTGGCAGGGAGATTCTTTACCACTGAGGCACCTGGGAAACCCATATATGCACATATATGTATGTAGACATACATGTGTGTAGACACCTGTATTTATGTATAAACACCTATGTGTGTGGCATACAGTTATTATTTCATCTATTGGAAATGAGAAACACTTTGATTGTGAATCTATAAAAGGTGGAAATTATATATATCACTTTATCTACTTTTTTTCATATTGCTTATCCATGAGAATTCCCAGCACCATACATTGCTCCTAGTAAGGACTAACTAGTTTTGCATATAATGAATTTAAATAGAATAAGGTGAACATAAAAAGCCTGGTTCTCATATTAGCATTTCAAGCAGTCAATTACCAGTCACCTACCCTGACAATCATCTTTGACACCTCCTTTCGGAAGCCAACCCCTTCCCAAGTCCTGTCATTGTAACTTGTCTCCTTTTATTTTCTTCACTAAGTACCACCCAAATTCAAGCCTTCATCCTATCTTTGCTTTGATCATCTATCTTAAAGCTTTCCACTCGAACTCTTGCTCCCTCCAATTATTTTGCTACAGACAGCAGTCAGAGTCTTTTTGAAATGCAGATGTAACCCAGTCATCCTTTGCTTCCCAGAACCATGTGCAGTGTCCTTAAAGGTCTAGGCCCTAACTCCAGCCTGATCTGACTACCCTTCGTCTCTCACTGTCTACGCCCCATGCCATGAAGGCTTCTTGGAAACATGCCTCTAATGTTTGTCGTTCTTTTTGGCCTCACCGCCTTTGTACTTGCTGTTTCCTCTGCTTGGATTTTCCCACATCTACCATATTTGGTCTAATTCCACTTCCTCTCAGGCTCCAACTAAATTTCAGTTGTTTAGAAGGGCTTTCCTTTCCTTTGAAACCAATTTTAATCTCCTTCTCCACTCTTACGTCTCCTCCATAACATTTCTTCTAGCTTGTAATTAATTTTGTGTGTGTGGTTATTTTTAATTTTTTAAAAATTAATTTTAATTAATGCTGTGCTACACAGCATGTGGGATCTTAGTTCCCCAACCAGGGATTGAACCCATGCCCCCTGCATTGACAGC